TGTGACAAATGGCATAACTTGGTCTCTGCGCCACTTTTAGGGGGGTCCCCTGCAGGGGTACTCCCTGCCTGTACTCTGAATTCATGGCAGTAGGCGCATCCACACCACACAATTAGCCTCCCCTTCCTACCTATACTCTCTGTTCTGTTTTCCTTAGCTACTTCTCCAGACTTACATCTTTCAGACATGGGAATGATGAATTTACCAGTTGGTGTTCAAAGTTCTGTAAACAGTAATATACTGGTTTAGTCTTCAGAACTTGTGAATGTCACCTGTCTTACTTCATACAGCACATGCTCATTTTGCCTGTTTTGCAAATGAACAAATAATACTTCAGTTATTAAACAGATTTCTAAAAATGCATTTTTGGTCTCTGTTTTTTTCTTTTTCAGAAGCAAGTTATATTTGGTATAGACTTTGTTTGTTCTCAGCAAATACTGGTACAACTTGGTATGATTTATAAATTATTTTTTAAATTTTGCAATAATATAATACTGTTAAGAAATAACTGGAGCCTTCTTCTAGACATGTCGTGCTTTCATTTAAAAAGTCCACCTTTTGATGTCTGTTTTTTTAACCTGTGAAGCCTTATGCTTTGCAGGTGGCGAAGATAAACTTGAGCAGTGTAGGATACCATAAGATATTAATGAGAATATTAGTAGGTTTTATGTCTTGTCACAGAAAACATTTCAAACTAATAATTAGTCAGTGTCTTGTCTCAATATTTGAGATAGCTATAATTTTTGAAAATGTGTTGAGAATGTCTGTGCACTCTATATGTGCCTGTCATTTCCATGAAATATGAGTTTTAGAATTCTGTTTTTTAATCAATTAAATCATTTTAATTAAAACCAGCAACGACAAAAACTAGCATCACAGCCAAAAGACTCTTTGAAACCACACGAAGGGACGGCATTTTCATGTGATGGTGTATCATAGAGGAACAGATTTGAGCTTCCTGAGTGGGCTACTTTATATAACAGAGTAAAATATGACTAAAGCTCTGAAAAATACCAGGGCATTAGCCTTTTTAATGGAACAAAATGGCAATGTAAAATGTCTTTTTTTCTGTCTTAGATGTCAAGTCCCTTTAAAGCAGAATAGGTCAGCCTCAGAAAATACATATTGGTAATTTTTCACTGGATATATTTGCATGCTGAAATTATATTCAAAATACACAACACATTTTGTGCCAAGAAAATGACTCCACAGTATGACCATCTGCAAAGCAGAAAATACTCTTGGACAGATTTGGAACTCAGCATGTGGTCCCTACTGCAGACAGCGCAGTAGCTAATTTTACGAGAGATCAGGATAACTCTATACTGGTATTTATCTGAGCCTAACTAATGAAACAGCATGTGTCTTAGAAAGGTGTAATGTGTGTCTATGTCAAATAATTTTATTACTGGAAAGGAAGCAAATGTAGTCACATCCAACTTTCCCAAACTCTGTGCTGTTTAGCCATGCAGATAATGTCCAGAATTTCTACTTAGACAACAATTTGCATGCACAAGTCAGGTAATGGCACTCTCAGCCTAGCAGTGATACCTATTTCTGGGCTTGATTTGTGGCTCAGGTGCTTATGCTGCAGAAACATTTGCAAATTTGATTTGCTGCAAAAAAAGCTTATGTCTGCCCCATGCTGCCTGGCAGTGCAAGCTAGAAAGAAGTTTTCAGGATGTCCTTTCCACATCACCAGGCTATCTGTGTAAAGACACCTCCCCCAAAATGATCTAGAATATTCTGAACAGAGAGATCCAGGAACCTTTCCCTGGAAAAAGTGTGTATCAGAGCAATAGCAGATATTCAGCTGTCTTTTTTCTTCTTGTTTTCATCAGATACTTATTCAAGACTTGTTAACTCCCAGGTGGGAAGAGTATTGTGCCTTTTGTTGCAGGTACACAAAGAGTTGCTGTCAGGCCTCTCTGACCTTGCCTAGTCAGAATTGCTCTATGAATATATTTTTTAGTTCTCAGCATTTTCACCAAAAGGATTATTAACTTAAACCCGGCCATTGCTTGAGTACATGTAGTATTCAAGTTTCAAAAAATGAAAGTTCAGACGTCCTGCCACATCTGAGATGTATCTCAACAAGCTGTCACTTTTCTCAGGTCCTTTCCCCCACCTCCAGTCTTTTTGCAGACTTTGGGAACACCCGAGTTCAGTAAAACCAAGATATTTTACTGAAAGGAAGACAGTTGGAAAATCTACAGCGCTTTGTTCCTGACTGAAAGGATGTATATCCTACCTTTTCAGCTGCTTAGTGCTTTTCCTGCTCTGCCGAGACAGGGCGTATAAACAGTAACCACAGCTGCCTTGCCAACCCTCAGCCCTGGGTTTCAGCCTTTTCAGCTGGTGCATTTCCTCTCCTACACTCAAGTAGCAGTTTTGATCAACAAGGTCCTTGAGTCAGATGGGTCTATTGAATAACACGCTTTATGGCTGATTATCAGGAGCTGGCAGGCTGAAGAGGTAGTAGCAAAACCACTACAAATCCCAGCCCTACACCAGAAACATAACAAGTTTGTAAATGTTTTTCGTCAGGTACAGTGGCCTGAAAATTAGTTTTGCTTCCTACCTGCTCCATGTTGCTGCTACAGGTAGAAGGTAGTGGAGGCATATAGGAACAGAAAGGAAGTTATGAAGTAAGGAACCTTAACAAAATGGATGCGGTATCAGTTACAGTTGAATTTATCCCTCAAGCACAGTTCATATCTCTAAAATACAAATATTTTTTGTGAGAGGCAAATCGAATGAGGGATCTCAATGTGCTAATTGGACCACTGGAGGAGACAAAGAGGATGAAGTGATGGTGATGCCTCTGTGTCAGCAACTTGCAGCCAAAATGCCTGGGAAGCTCAGACACACCTGGTGAAGCAAGAGGTCTCAAAGACAGCAGTGGGCTGCGGACTGCCACAGTCACGGACTTCCCACCCCATTGCCTCCAAAGGATTTGATTCGGTACAAGAAAGAGATGGGAAACCACAAGTTTTAGCTCAATAGAAGGCTGAGGGGATGGCTCTGTACAACATAATGACTGTTTGCTTTTCCTGATTCAAAGAAAAGCATTTTTGATGGAGAAGAATATTTATTTTTCTGAATTACTATTTGAGAAGTAACTAATGTGTCGGTATCATGACATCTGTGTGATGCTTGCTGTGCTGTATTTCTAAGACACATCAGGGCTACTTTTATAAACCAACCAATTTTCACTTGCTCTGTAAGAATAGTAGCTACTTTAACTAAAACACTTGTTTGGAGTCAAAGAAGTGTTGTGGTAAATGTGGGAACTGAATACAAGCGCTGAACTGTGAAATGGAGGGCTGTTGTAGCTGTGATGGTCTGAGGGCATATGCAAGGCAGGGTTTGTAGTGAGAAGCAATTTTATTAGATGAGCAGATGTAGCTGGGGAAAAAAAAAAAAAAAGACAAGTTATGAAGCAAACAAGCTCTTCTCTAGACCTGAAGAAAGGATTGTGTGCCTGAAAGCTTTTTGACTACCTCTTGCTATAAATCTCATGCTTCTTCAGAAAGGCAGGAGTTTAAACCTGCTGCAAGACCTGTTCCACCCCCACAATCACCCACCCCCTAAAAATAGTAAATTCATGTGATTTTTTAGGTGATTGAAACTTTGGGTTGGGCTCTAGGTAAAAGCATCCAAGACATAATTATATAGCAATTACTGATTACTACTGGATAAACCTGTGACATTTGCTGAGCCATTATATGTTGAATGCTTATACACGTATGACATTTCTCTCCTGACTCACTTGTTGATCCTGTGCATTCACCTATTGTGTAGTTGAAATATCCTTTACATGGCATAAACTTAAAATAATTTATGTTTTTATCAAGGTGATGTATCCAGGTTTTGATTAATTTTGACTGTTCTTTAGCTTGTAGTTAATTGTCTTCCATCCTGTTGGGTTTTTTTCATAAAATACATGAGTATTTTTGTGTTTTTAGGTCTGAATATAATGTGCAGTTAGTCTCAATCCATATTTAAAACAGTTAAACAAGGTCTGGAGTCACCTTTACTTGTCTTTGTGCAACTGTTGTCTTACCCATGGGATACATCTATTACAGCTTTTTAGCTAATGGTCACAGGAAGGTCTTTCTGTGCATGGGAGAAATTATTAATACTGACCAGACTAACTATTCAGATAATAAGTTGTTAAATACTGAAAGAATCTATAAGATTTGTTTGTGGCAATATGATTTCAAGAGTTTTTGTAGTATACAGTTAGTCTTCTGTGAGACAGTATGAATTCAGATTTTTTTCAACATGCATTTCTTTCATTCAGCCTGAGTGCAATGGGAAGAAGGAAGCAATATTAGAAAACTGAAGCAAAATGTTAATGGCATTAATTTTGCTTACAATATAAAAATGGGACCACAAATAAATTGTTCAGATCATACTGAACAAATATCAGTTAAAACTTTTTACATTGGATGTATTGTATACCACATGCCCATTACCCAGAATATTTTAGGGTTCTGGTATCATCTAAAGCCAGGAGGTTTTGCTCTGCTTGGAAAAGCACATAGTATAGTAGTGAGAAAAATTATAGTTACTACCTCTTACATTACAATAAAGGTTTAAAAAAAAAGGTCTAAAGCAATGTTGATTAAAGACATATGATTAGATTCCTCATGGCTTAATAAGATAAAGAAATGAGTCTTGGAAGAAGGTGTTTTTAAAATATTCTAAATTACAATGAGAAATGGTCTGTTTAATAGAGCAAGAAAACATTTTTATCATTTGTAGTTCTCAAGATGCTTTTCCTTACACTGAGTATTTACTGTCTTCTTCTTCACACTGAGATAATCTAAATTTGAATGGCACCTGTTTTAGCCTTGAGAAGAGAGCTAACTGACCTGTCACTATCTTCACTTGTGAACAGAAATAGGTCTGAAGCTGTTCTCTCCCAGTGCATTCAAGTATAATGAAGAAACCCACATATTCATTTACTATAAAGATTTTTTCTGTCTCTTCAGGGAAGCAATCAGTTGTGTTTGTGAAGCTGTGCCTGGTGCCAAAGGAGCCTTCAAGAAACGAAAGGTATTTTTCTTTTCTTGTAGTGCAGTTGACTGTATTTTTTTAGCTCAACACAGAGAAGACGAGGCACAGCAGGCAGGTGACTTTAAAGCAGCTTTGAGAATTACAGATCATTAATCATTTAAAGTATTGGCTGTTGTCACCCACTGTATGTTGCCTCTTGCCCTTTTGGTCAGCATCTGCTTTTATAGGCATCTAGGAGTATAAGTACATCTAGGAAAAAGGTTGTGGCTTGCCTTTATGTTTCTACTGTAAAACCCCCCTCCTTTTTCTTTCTTTTGTAGATTGCAGGTGGAAGGCTTAAAACTAACAAAAAGGGATGCCTCTTCATAAAATGCATGAGTAAATTTTAGAAATAGGTGCTGGAAGCTATTGCAGAGGCCAAAAATATACATAGTTTTGAAAGTGATTAGATCTTTTCTTGGAGCATAGCTCTGCTGGTGACAGTGAGTTTGGGAATCACTGACTTCTGGAAATGGAAAGAACATACGAGGTGATCCTCTGTTCCCTGTGCTCTTTCAATAACCACCTGCAGCTGATGGTCTGTAGCCAACACTGGTGGCAGGTCCAGTGGGTGTTGGCCTGACACAGTTATTACCATGCTTTTATTCTTATTTATGTGATAGGAGTTATGATCTACAGGCATGGAATGGAGGAAGCCTCAACTCAGCTCCTGCACTGCCTGCTCTTCCAGGGGCCTGCTAGTAAAGACAGGATTTAATGCTAGCTCTAAAGGAAGAAGCATAGAAAGCAGTTAATTATAGCCCATGTGTGTGTTGTTGGATGCAGGAGGAGAACAGGCAGGTGAAAGAAAAGGTCTGCCTGCTTCCCAGCTGCTCCACCATCTAGGTGGAATCCCAGCAGAAAGAGATGGGATGAAATGCCACTTGTCTGTAATGGAGAATCTTCCCCTGGTAAAATAAGGCATATGTGACAACATATGTCACAGCATAGTTGGAATTTGTCATTGTGGTTTCCCCACCACTACCACTGAATTTATCTCATTGGCATTTCTAGGTTCTCTGGCTTTTGTTTTTAAACCAAAAGTAAAGAGGAAAATATCTTTTTCCTTGGAAAGCAAAATGAGGCTAACTGTCATTGGAAAAGTAGGTAAAACAGTGTCCCAAGTGCCCAGTGAGACACCTTGCTGTATTACTGTTTTTAGAAGCAATGTTGCTTACCCATTATTGAAAAGAATTAGTGATTGTAAAGTAAGTGTACTGACTGAGAAGAAAATTCTCAGTGAAAGAATTTCAGATAAATGTTAAAGACAGACATCTTTTGCCAGCCTGTGCTTTCATCATGTTTTTGCCACTAGTGGCTTATCGATTTGGTTAAGGTGACATGTACTTCTTGAGGCCAAGTTTTCACACTTTACCCACACTGTGGGCAGGTGATCCTTAGGCATGAGCTGGGGAATCATGGAGGGCTAAGGAAAGAAGAGAAACAAGAATATCTAAAAGGGCTTGTTTTAAAGTGAAGTTAATGAAGTACTAGCTCTGTAACATGACGAAGTTAAAATAGTGCAGCACAAACATTACATATGAACAGTATGTAGGCAGTGCATATTTAAACAATTAAACAGAGGGAAAAGAACCTAAAACTGAATATATGTAAGCTTTAAGGAGTAAAGAAGTACAGGTGTGTCCATCCTGCTAGGGATAAAACTTTCCAAACTTGCAGGCAGTTTAGTACAAATGCAAATACAGTCGCAGAAGAACCCTGCCTCCGGTCACAGCTTTGCTTTCATATCCTAATGACTAGCATAAATATTCACCAGCACAAGTAGAAGGACTTGGTCTGTTATTGCTGGGCAGCCTGATTTTGTACAGGCTATGGTTAACTGAATGAAGCTGCTCTCATGCAGCTATGTGGTTCCCTATAACTGTCAAAGGTGAGAAGTTTGTACATTTTGCTTTGTTAGCATAACTTTTATTGCTAAAAAATATCTAGTGAAAGGCCTACAAAAGTTATCAGTAGTATTACATCCTCTTTATTACATTCCAACACTTTGTACTTATTCTCTGACTTAAGAGTAATCTTTAGCTGTGTGCATACAAAGGTTTTAGCCTACTGCTAAGGAGCCTACAAGCATAATGACACTGTGTATCCATTTTTGTGAGCATCCCATCAGTATCACTGGAGTCCCATTTTACATGTGGGAAGGTGGTAGAGCAGTCACTAGATGCAGAGCAAACAACAGATTTCGGGAGCTTATTCTGTTTTTACAGAATAAGAACATGCCGTTTTAAGAAACTGATTTAAGGCATTCATCTTAGTCTGCTCACTTAGTCCCTTGGTGAAAACGAGACTTTGCTGTCTCACAAACCCCTTATTTTGTTAGGTCAAGAGTGGATGAATAGCTGCCTAGCTATTATTATTATTAGGAGTAGTAGTATAAATGAGAAATTATCTCCAGAGCACAATAGCTGTTGCAGTGAAATGATCTTTGAAAAGTCAGCAACTTTTAAGAAACCTTTAAGATTACACCTAACCCTGCATACAATGAAGATGGTCCCAAATAAATGCAGAACAAATGTGATTTTTTTCCCCCCCCTTGCAGCCACCAAGCAAAGTTCTTTCTAGCATCCTGGGAAAGAGCAATCTTCAGTTTGCAGGAATGAGCATAATGCTGAATATCTCCACTACCAGTTTAAACCTAATGACTCCTGATACAAAACAGGTGAGTGTAACTGCCATATTAATTTGTGAGGCTTTTGATGAACAGCCTACTGTTCAGTTATTTGCTGTCTGCCAAAAAAACTCAGTTGCTCAAAGTTATTATTCCTCAATAATGTCTATAAAATGAATGAAAACAGGATATAAAGTGTAGTAGGAGTCATAGTTTATTCCGCTACTCAACACAGTTTTGGTGAATTATTCTGGCCATGCTTCAGGTAGCTCAGTTTTGCTCTTAAAAGACTTATGATGTAAAATGTCATTTTCTGGTCGTGGGAGTTCTCCTTGAGTTCAATTACAAACTTTCATAGTGTTAAAAGGGATGAATTTGGAGTGACTAAAGGAACGAACGGGCATCCCGAATTTTGTTGTAGTTCTTCCCATTTAGAGCCTTAAAGTGCAATCTAGTCCTGAGGCGCTGCTAAAAATACAGCCTCAGGGATTTTGCAGTGCTGTGAAATGCCAGTCTTTCCAGAGACAAGGCAGAGCCTTTTTCAAGCAGCCCATTTCTTCTTCATTGTGGTGAGGGTACAGATAGACTTTGGGGAATCACTGCAGTAGATTGTGAATGATGTATGAGATGAGGAAAATCCTTGCTCAGGATATATATAAAGAGGAGACAGACAGACATGCAGAGTCACTGCTGTACTATTTGCTGTGAACCACACACTGTGTTAGGGTGTGCAACTTTCAGCCCAGATACAGCTAGAGAGAAAAAAAAAAGCAATTCCTGCTGTCCCTATGAGCCTCAGGATTAAATAATATGAAAGAATACATCCATCATCTATTAAAAAGCTTGCTGTTTATTATTACATTTTCATTGTTTTATCTTCATTCTTGTCCTTATTTAGAAAACATCATAATCTTATGCAGTGAGCACTAAGACTGTGAGAGCAGAATTATGTCTGGTTGTGGTAGTTTGGAGCCTTATTAGGGAGTATACACAGCAGTGCCTTTCATAAGGGCAGTTGCCCCCAGTCAGAAGCATAGGAAGTTGGTGTTAATTAGATCTACTAAAAAAGCGCCATACCCTGCAATTCACCTTGTCTTCAGCTGACGTCAGGGTAGAAGTGGAGTTAAAACTGATTTATCCCAGGGAAGAATCCTCCTCCAGATGTTTTGCCTTTTCTCTGAGTTGACAAAACTGTTTATCTTTCTCTCACATCATTATTTTTGAGATAGACTTGGTCTGGGTGGTGCAGGCCTGGGAAACGTCTGGTTTCTCAGAGATCTCCAGTCTGGCTGTGGTCTCCCTTGTTTCTTGTTTGTGCCAAGCATTCGATTTGAAAATAAGCATAGCCCAGCAACTGCCCTTTGAGGCCTCACCCAGGAAGATGGCTGTGAACTGCTGTAATAGTCTCTTTTTGCCTGAGGAGCTGGAGGGAATGAAAAAATAAGGTTGTTGTTGGCCCTTAGGATAGCAGGAAATCAATTGCATGTATCCCTGCACATCAATTTTGTGAACATGTTAAGCACGGATGAGTGGAAGATGATTTTGTTTTGTTTATTTAAGATGATTTTTTTCTGTTTATTTGTTTAATATGCGGATTTGGGTAGACGGGAAGTTTTTAAACTATGTGCCATGAATAATTTCATTTTAAGCAATGCAAGGCATTGGTAATTTGCTATGCTTTGTTTCAATATTTTTTGAGGGGGTGGGGGTGGGGAAGAAATGCAATGCACTGACCTCAAACTAAACTAAGCTATTTAGCTATTTAGCTGTGGAATTAAAAACAAAAAAAAAGTGTCTGATGAACTGATGGTTTCAAGCACATTCTAGTTTTCTTAAAATTTGGAAAAATGTTTTGAGGCAATCTGTTTTTTATGATGCTGAACTAAAAGATTGGGTTATTTGCTCAGTTCAAGACAGTGACAGTATTAAAAGTGTAACAAATCTTCACTAGTTCACCTTTATGGTTAGAATCATTTCATTATGGGAAAAAGAGAAGGAAATTCTCACTGATGAGGAAGAGAATGATGGTTCACCACTGAATACTTAAAAATTAAGCAGGAGTATTGAAAGTGAAGCACTCTACACATACTACAAATAGTTGTCAGCTCTGACTTAGTGAAGCACCAAGATCCAGAGAAACTCATGTTAGGCGTTTTTCTTTCCAAGGAAGACAGTTGCTAGTTCAAGTCTTTAAGATGGAGGATTGGGGAAAACAGCCCAGAGAATATCTATTTAGCTTCATTTTTTTTCGAAAAGGATTTTCTAAAGTAAAAATATACCATACGCTCTCTGAAGTGAGCAGTCAAGATCCAAGTGACTATTACCACATGCTCTGAGTCACTAAATAGGGGAGCCTGTCCTATACCAGCAAATTCCTTGGCATGGTTTCAGTGACTCAATTGATCTAGTGAAATTTTCTTTCAAATGACCTTTTCTTTCTTGATTGTAACATGATTTCTTTATTAAAAGATTTCATAAGTTAAATCTCAGAATAGCAATGGAGCAGAACTGTTCTTCTATGAGACGTTCATGACGATTTGTCTCTTTCCGGAGGAGTATCATATTAGTTCAAATTAAACATAAGCAAAATGAATTTCAAATGCCCTGGACTGTGCCTGAGATTTTGTACACAATGCTACGTTGCAGCTAGATTCAAAATTCTGTTTGCATATTGCAAACATGTTGGTGTTTGAAACATAAAATGATGCAGTTGGTGCTAGAAGTAATGCTAGGATCCTTAGTGTACAGACTGGCATGATTTCATTGTTTTCATCAGAGTGGCATCAGCAAAAAACCTTTTGCTCCATTCATCCCCATCTGAAATAAAGAAAGTGAGCTTTAGCAGATTAAAATTTCTCCAAAGGTATTTTATGACAGATCTATATGATTTACAGGAGTTCTGAACACTTTTAGCAATTTTGCCATGTCCTGCTAGGTTTTAAAGAACACCAGAATAGATACATTCATCCTTAATTTTGTTTATATTATCATGCTACTCTTTGCACTCCACAGAGTTAATTTTGATCCTGGGTTTGGATTTTCACCCCTATACAAAAAGAAATCAGAAGGGTAAACTGTAAGAAAACGTAGTGAATCACAATTACTCTTTCTGTTCCATGCAGATCATAGCAAATCACCATATGCAATCTATTTCCTTTGCGTCTGGAGGTGATCCGGTAAGCATTCCTTTAAAGCTATCCCCCATGTAGATACTGCTTTATGATGACTGTGTGACAAAATTTATTGCATAGCTTACTGAAGGAAAAATATAACCACAATAGCTCCTGTTTCTTTTTTCATAAATTCTTCTTGATTGTTGCCATCAAAGTCTTTTTGAGGGAAACGACTGACAAGCAGTCATAAATCCTGCTCTTTGAATGACTGAAACAAAAAGTATCAAAGGGCTGTGAGCATACATATAACAACTGATAAGCAGAGCTCTATTTTACTGCGTAATGTAGTATAGACATATGGGTTTCATGAGAATTTTTGTTCTGAGTGGTTTTTATTTTGCACTTTTTACAGTCATAAACTGTGTTGCAGTCGTATTTATAGCAATGCATGCATATATTTTTTTTCTTGTTGTCTTTAAATGCGCATTGAGAAAACTGTGCTAAATACTGCCTTCAGGTATATTTGCTACACTCATGCAGCTTGAAGAAAGGCTTCCAGGAAAAGCCCAGATAGTTCTTTCTAGTTCTGCAAAGCTTTCAGATACACCTACACATTTGGTTCCTTTAGATCAAATGGCGGTTTCCTGCTTGCTGGCTTTTCCCTGTTTTTATAAGCAGTCCATCCAAAGGCATATTAAATGTGCTTTAAAAGTATTTGTCACCCAGGAAACAATGGGAGAATTATAAAACAGGGACATTGTTCACTTCTTACTTGGAGGTTTGAAAGCTTTTAAACCTAGATTAATCGAACAAGTTTGCTTTTTCCTCCATCATATGATTATCTGTCATTTATCAGTCATGTACTACAGGTAAGGCAATTTCTAGCCTGCTTTGTGAGTTAGTTTTCTCAGTTCAACTCTGTTAAGTTGAAGATCCTTGGCACTTTCTCTGTTCATTTCACTATCCCCAGAAAACATAAGGGCTAACTTCAGTCTCAGTATAGCTCTGCTGAGCTCAGTTCAGTTCCAGAAGGGAAAAAGACACCGTATGGTAATAATTTGGGGAACAAAAAATGGATCAACACAACTTTGAAATACAACAGATTGCAATGGATGCTGTAAATGAACAATTCCTGAAGTGGGCAGAGGAGTGATTACCACAGTTCCCTGCCTCCGTAAGAAGATTCTTCATTCCCCATCTGCCATCGCAAATGCTAAGTCCTAGAAACACCATTGCACACTGCCCACTGATAGAGTGATTTTACCAGGGAAGTGGAGAGGAGCAGCAGTAGAGATTGGATTTGGAGTAAACAAGCTCTTCCAAATGTTTTAGAGAAAGAAAAATCATGCTACTGAGTCAGTGAGCTACCAGAGAAATAAAATTGCATGGTGTAAAGGAGCCTACAAGACACAGTGAAATTGTAAAGTTGCATTCCCGATAAGACCAGTGCATAGTGATCTCTTTCTGGGGGTGGAGAAGGTAGGTATGAGTATATAATGGGGCTCTACAGGTTTGTCTCAGTGGGCTAGTATCTGGCACAACTTTAAATCAAAAGCTTGTTCATAAAGCAGGTGGTTCCTTGGTCCTGCAGGCACATGGAAGAAGACAAGATGCAAGGATATGATTTAAGTCACAGCATTATTAACCCGTCTGAGGGTCATCCAGACATAACTTTCATCAGCCCTTAATGATTTCCACTTGGTGCAGGACTGCCACCACCAAACTGTGTTCCCCAAACACAGTTGGACTCCAGACCATAAACTCAATTTTTCATATAAGATTTAAAATGGAGAAAGGCCATACTGAATTAGGAACCCAGATCCGTACCCATGTTTCTTCAGGAAATACTTCCCCTACTCTAAATTTTGAAGTTTGAGTTATTTAGAAGTGAGACTGTCCCCACTTCTCACCCCATCCACTTTTCTGCTCTGAGTATCTGCCCCATATTTGGGCCAGCAATTAGCTTTGCAACTTTCCTCCCACTCCCTAAACATTAATTACATTTCAAAGTTACCTTTGTTAATTACCTATTCAAAATATATCCACTGGAGAAGTGTTCCACAGTCTTGGAGAACAGCTTGAGTACCATATATATATTTTTTTGCAATATTCCCCTTTGCAATGAGTCAGAAAGTTTCTTCAGTACATGGGAGCTTAAAAATCTCTCCACCAAATGCTTTTACACACCATTTTTGAATAATTTTTAGTTCTAAGACTGTTCTGGATCAGCTTTAGCTTTCTTCAGCCCTTCCTTACGATACACTAAACAATTTTTATCCATAGTAATTTCAGGTAGCTGTTACCAGGCTGCTAGACAAGATATCTGGTTTTGGAGATGTCTGCTGAAATACCAGAGAGGTGAATCTCATAAAGTCTAATAAGGCAGGTCTCTCAGAGGTCCCTGAAGGCAGTAGTTTTTCAGTTTCAGCCCTGCCTCCAAATTTTAACACCACAATGCAGTTTCTTTGAGGCGAATATTATAGCTCGTTCATACTTGTCTTCAGTACTTGAATGTCAGGGACCACTTTGCTGCATCAGACTTTTGTTACAGACTTTTGATGGGAATCTTCTAATTTAGCCACTGTGAAAAGTGCCCAGCTTAGGTCCTTAATGGTTTGTCATAGTCACCTTGAATCGGAGAGCTTTAGATGAAATAAAGAGTAGGTGGTTCCAGTCTCTCACTCCCACACTAGCTGTGAGATAGATGTATGATTTACTCAGGCATAAATGTATCCATTAGCTATGTCTGTACTAGTAAATAAAAAGATCTGTGGCCCGTTTTCTGGCCCTGAAACAAAATATCTCTGTGCAATTTGTATCCACATATTCACTCTCTTCTCTCCCTGTAGTCTCTTGGTTTCAATGCCCAGCACGTGCTGGTCCCTCAGAGAGTTTCAGAGCATGTCATGGGAAGCCAGCACAGCCAGGCAAAGGAGAGTAGCAACAATTAAACAGTATACACAACTCTCAGGCCTTTACCTTGGCTCTGTGTTTTTTGCAACTATAGACATAGCCACTTTTCTTGGTCCCTTACTTGTTGATATGCATCATTACTTTCACTCAAATCATTGCCCAGACACTATGTCACTGGGTGCTTAAGAAATTACTGGGCAGAATGCTAGGGCTATTCCCTGCTGGTTTTTTTTTACAGACCAACTTCATTACTGCTGTGTCTGAGTGCCTTCCAATAGTGCATTAAGAGATATGGCTACGCATCTGTCACCAGAACCATGAATGTGCTTCATCATTTCCCTTGCCCTCTCCTTAGGAAGGAAATTGTACAGACATACAGCACAGTGACTTGTTTTGGGTGGGTGGTGGTGGTGTGTGCTTGCAGTAGAGAAAACTAAGCTAAAGAAGTCTGTCATTTGACTGAAAATTGACATTCGTTGTGACATTAGATCTTGACATAATTGTCAATGGTCTTGGATCGGTCACCTGAAAAGGCTTTGGATAGATTTATGCAGCCAGCTGTAGTGTATCCTATGTATACCTCAGTTAGGTTTAGCTGTACTTGACTAGCCAGGCATGTCAGGAAATAACAGATCTAAGCCGGAATTTCTGATCGCATCAAGGATATATGGCATTTTCCAGATATGCCAGCAGGCCTCACATTTCCCAGAATCACTGGCCTTTCTGTTTCATCTGCACAGTGATAAAAGTCTCCACTGCTTGTGCACAGGAGCGTGAGAGTGGCAGGAGAGAAAGCAAAAAATCCACAAAGAAGATGTCAGCCTTCTCTTTCCAGAAAATCCACCTGATGTGTGGCAACAGGGATGGCTGGGAGAGCCCGTGGCCTTGGGGAGAGCATCCTGGGATACTGCTTGTCACAGCCAAGCCATGGTGGAGTGCCTCTGTGCCATATGGCATTGTCAGTAAAGCAAACACACCTGCTTGTCCCACATGAATAAAAGCCATTGCTTAGTATTTCTGGGGAGCAGGGCTGTTACTCCCACTCTTTCTGCCATAGAATCAGTTGATTACTCATATTCTGAACCAAAATCTCTTGGTAGTTTGAAGATGAGGACTTGTAATTCTACTCCATTCTAAATAAGGCATGATCCAAATCATGCTAAACTTGTTTAACTGATTTTCAAAGGTCATGGAAGAGATTTTTAAATCCTGGTGGAACAGATCACACTCTGGAGAAAGCAAGGTGGTAGAATCAGTACCAAAACCCATAAATGTTTTATGGCGTTAAAGTAGTATACAGCTGGAGAGCAAAACATTGAGGCTCTACCCACAGGAATATGGACGTTCTGTACTGTGATATTTTGCTATGATCAGTGCAAAGGTTTTTTGCATTCATTGTGGATATCTTAATTTTTTGACAGGATACAACTGACTATGTTGCATATGTAGCTAAGGATCCTGTTAATCGGAGAGGTAAGTTAGAAATATCTACTTGACATCCTTTTTCCTTTGAGAACATGAATTATTCATGGTATAATTCAGTTGATTTTTTTTTTTCTTCAGAAAAAAATAAATGCAGCTCAGTAAAAGGTTGCTTTTGACAGAGTCATGGAAAGATTGTGTAGCAGTAAGGAACAGCCATTCACAAGTTGGTTCTCAAACTTGGAACAGGTCTTGCCTGTAGTTCATCTCCAAATATCACTTAGATTCTCTTCATCTCTTAAATGAAATGCTTGCCTTACTTGGCTGCATGAGCTTCTAACAGCTAATTATTACCTATACCCAATCTCTATGCAAGAACTAAACAGTCCTCTGATTAAGTTCTCCTATGAGGTGTCTAAATCTGTGAAATCTTCTCAGTATATGCCTAATTCTTCCTGGCAGAATCAGATTCTTTACCAAATAGTGAGCTTTTGAGCCAGCTTGCTGGAGGCTGCAATCCTCTTTCTCAGTTATTCAAGGTTGTATTACTTTATGAGAGATCAGTCAGGAACAGGGAACCTCTTGTCTTCAAAGACTAAGATCCCGTTCATATTCTCAAAATTAAAAGTAAATTATAAAAGTGTAAATTACAGTGTGAAATAATAGGTAGAGAAAACATGCCTGCTTGTAATGCAGAAAGTGTCACTAGGTCTCAATGCTAGATACAAGGTATTGCATAATGTACCTGAGAATCTATTTATTATTCATAAATTCATAGAGGGAAAAAAAGACTAGCTCCAAAAAAATATCAAGCACTTTCAACAAGATTTCTGCAGAATTCAGACACTTTAACTCCAGAATGCCAATGCTGCAGACCCTGAGCTGCCACCTTATCATGGGCACAGCTAATTCAATAACTTCTGTATTTTTTAATCTTTAACGATTTTTAATACCTTAACCATGTGCAGAGATGTCCAGACTTGGGAGTGTTAGCTTATAAATAATACCTGAACTAAATATATTAATATGGGGAGTGGGAGGTAGGGAGAGAGTCCAGTTCTTTGCCATGCTTGCTGTGTTCCAACACCATGTGTCTCCCATCAGAAGGGCTCTGGCATCAGATCGTAGGCTATATGGTGCAGAGCTACTCTCCACCTGCTTTAGCAGTACCCTTCTGCTAAACCAGGGAATGATCTAGTTCTGAGAGATCTCAGTGGCAATGTAGTAGACCAGCATCATAGACCAGGCGTTTGCACTGTAGGGTTTGGAGGAGCCCAGAGCTCTGTTTTCTGCTTCTGTGTGCATGGATTTTATATAAAAAATGTTTAATGAACACTTGTGGTTTTTTATCTTATATCTAAGTTGAACGTGTTTAGCTGTGTTTAGCCTTACTTCCTGTCACTGTTCCTTGATGAACTAGTCTATCCTAGATCGAGGAGTCAGCTAAGCACCTGGTATTTTCTTCCTGTAGTGTAATTTAGTTCAAGTCATGTCTCTTTTCTTCAGGAAAAGTTTGACAGAGTGAACTCTGTAGGTCTCCAGCTGCAATGCACGTCCTCCATCCTTCAGATAATTTCTGTTCCTCATCCTTACATTTTTCTGCATTGTTTTAGAAAGGTAGATGATGCCTGTTGTTATTTGGATTAATTTAGTATTGTCAGCAACCTATAACAGAAGCTGCACCTTCCTGCTCTTACTTGCTTTTGTCCTCATCATTAACTGGTTTCTCATAAGCCCTTTTTGCAGCAGTGAAGCACTGTTACCTCATGTAAAATTCTTTCATGCTGTGATCTTTAAGCCTTCTGTTACAGCTTTCCATGCGAGCTTTCCCCAATTTTGTGTGTACATCAGGCATTTGTACATCAGTGACTTTGTCTGTGACAAGTATTAAACCACATTTCTTTTAAAGGTCTAGTTTACCAAGGGATCTGGATTGCTCTTTTTCACCATCACTGGCCATTCTGTTAATCTTTGGTTTATTTGCAAATTACTTTAGAAGTGAGTTTAAATTTACTTCTCTATGTAGTGAAAATGTTACTGCTGCTGTTCCTAACACTAGCACTGATGCTGTAGTATCGCTTTCACTTGCATATTAGACTAATTTCTTCTCAAAGATGGAAAAGCTCTCTTCATGCTTTATGTCCTGGATCTAGCAATGTAAAGGCTGTCTGTCTTCTGCTGTAACTTTCATGAGAAATGAACTCTTTGTGATCTACACCTTCTCATCCTTGTACAAGAAGCACATCTACCTGCTGAAAGTCCATCCATGTATCCAAGGAAACAGGTTGTCATTATGTCACCTTCTGAAACTACTTAATGACTCATGCTTCATTTTAGCTCCAGATAGGTTTAGCAGTGAGAAATGTAGCCTCTTTAAATCCCCACTCAGTAACTAGAGTGCAAAAATTGTAGCTTTGTTTGGCCTAACTACTTTCAGCCCATGTTCATGGAGAGAGGTCTGCACCTTACCTGGGGGCTGATTGTTCACTGCTGCGAGCAGTGGTGCAAAGGGGCTAAACAGCAAATATATTGTGCAAGCCAGGAATGTCTACCTCTGTCTTTGAACACATGGAGGTCCTGTTTTTGGCTGCCAAATCCACTTTTAACATGCAGCTAAGGACATTTCCCCTCACTCAGGCATTGCCTCAGCATGCTGGTTGGCACAGTAGATGCTATAAGGTGAGAGGAGAGTATCACTGGATCTGTTTAGCAAGCCAGCATCTCATACCATCTCATGCTGTGTAAGGTGCTGCAGATGCTGAGGGAGAGACAGCTTGGTGTCCTGGTCATTCCATACCTGCATAACTGCAGGTTTCTTGGCCCTTTATTCTGGACTCTTCAGAAGTTGGTCCAATAGATCAGCCTCTGAGAAGTCATTGCTAAACCTCCTTAGTTTCCCATATTGCTTTAACTAAAATTATGTCATACAAATGTCATGACCAGCCCTTATTTGTAGGACATTGGCATCCAAAGCACTTGATTCCACTGAGCTGGACACTGGGCATATACTAAAATGCAGTTTTTCAGTGGAAGAATTTATATTCAGGTCATTAAAGCACTCAGGGATGATAGAAATTAGTAACTTTGAAGAAGGTCCCACTGTGCTGTAGCACGACCTCGAAAAGAACCAGAATTTCAAATCCAGTCCAGGCTCTAGCCAGTAGACCATGTGCTTGTCCAGCACTGAATATGGAAAATGAACTCGACTGGGTTTTTCTGAATATCACTGACTTGGTGTTCATTCAGATCTTTAGCTTCTAGCTCTTAACACCCATCATTCCCACAGTGTTTGGTGAAATTTTCATGAGTTCACCTGTTTATGCTGTCACATAAGAGGACACCTCTGAGCCATTGTCTGATTTAAAACTGGAATGGATTTGGCTATTCAGACAGCTGATAAAGGTTTCTTGGTCTCTCATAGGAAGAGAGCTTGTGTTGCCAGCCCCCTCCTTACTGCATCTGTCATGATGGTTTCAGAGATACGGCACATGAGGGAGCACTGGAGTTAACCACGATCCTGGTTCTGTGCTCCCCAGTGATCCCGCAGTTTGCTGGGAGTGTCTCCATAGAGACAAGCAGGAAAATATACCAGATTCTATTACTGGAATCAGATCAGAGCCCGAGATCTAGAAAGTATCCTCGTTACTGCTCCTCCCTCAGCCTGTAATTTGGGAAATTCTGGAAACTCAGAGGAAGTGAACAGCTTGAGGGCTTGACGTGATTAGACATAAAACTGAAGTAATGAAAAGGAGGAAAGCAAAGAAAGCTTTTTTGTTGTTACCATCCCCTAATATTTTTATAAATTCAATTTATAGCTGAGAATTTTCATATAATCTATTGAATTTAGGTAATAATAAGTGAAATTTTATGAGTTTTCCTGTATTTATTAACTTGTTAGAATTGTATAACTGACTTGTGGTCTTGCCTACTGCAGTCACACACTAGAGCAATTTTATTTAACCTTAAAAAAGACCCCATTGCCTGAAATTCACTGTGCCAGAATTGGGCTTTATTGAAACGTGCACATCATGAATAGGGCAACTATACCTGATGTGTCGGTGTTTTGTCATAGGTCAGTGCACCCTGACATAACACGAACAATGATTTTCATGTGCATGTGTCAAATCTTTTTCATTTAGCTTGTCATATACTGGAATGCTGTGATGGCCTGGCCCAGGATGTCATCAGCACCATAGGGCAAGCGTTTGAGCTTCGATTTAAGCAATACTTGCGATGCCCCTCTAAGATACCTACTTTCCATGATAGGTGAGTATGACTGCAGGAGACTGCTAAAGGATCTTCTTTAGCTTTATATTTACTTGATAAAATGTTCTGTGGACAAAGTTCGTGGAGATGGATGTGATTTAAATACTTTAAAAAAAGATTTCTGCTGAATTAGCAAAGCAGCATTTGCCTAATGAATGTGAAAGGAGCACAGTCATTTTAAAAGAATGGGCTAAATACGGATTTCACAGTGAACTTACTGAAATGATCATGCGTTTTCTCTTGTAGTTAGTAGGCAGAGTTCAATGGTCAGATATGGGTATGTGTGGCATTTCCTCATTGTTACTGTCATAGCAGCTCTGTCACATGAGATAAAGTAAGCTAGAGTTGCTGGGCTTCCAAAATGACTAGTGATGTTTCACTCTTTCCGAAATTAGCCAGGTAAAGTTTTTAGGAATGTGATATATTGTACAGAGGCTTTGACTGCATTGTTCTCTGGAGGATAACAAAATTTGTTTGCTTGTATATGTTTAAAAGATTAGGATGTAGTATTCTGTTTTCTTTGGTGAGCTGTGTTTTTGTCATGGATTGCTATATTCTTGCTAACGTTAGTATAAATCCCAGTGAGGTGGCATCCTGTCTCATCTCTTATATTAGAGTAAAATGAGTGTATGGTGAATATAAAATGGTACTATCCTAATTGGGAAGCATTTTGTACTCACTTCAGATTTTTGTAAATGACTCTTAAATGTGGACTGAAACCACAGATCTGATATCTTGTGAAGTTCTTCCAGATTTATGCTGGTAATAGAACGGCCATAATAAAAGACAAAGTTTTAATGCTCAGTCAATCAATCAGCTAATAATATCACAAATGCTACTGTAAGGTTAAATAAAATAATTTGTTAATGCAGTTTATAACAGTCTTTAAAGCTAAGTAAAAACACCCTTTACTCAACATAAAGAATTTAATCCGTTGCAAAGGAGGTTTAGATTAATTTGTTTAAACAGAGAGGGTCTGCTGTAATTGCTTCCTGGCTTACAATGGTAGCTGAATTGTCAAAATAATAAGCAATAGTGATCCCCTGACAGGTAGTCTTAACATGCTGCAAATATCTGTATGTACTTTGCAAGTGAGAGACAAAATAAAGCACTCACTTTCTTACAGAATGAAGAGTTTTGATGAGCCGTGGATGGATGAAGATAACCAGGCGACAGAACATCCCTATTATAACAACATCCCAAATAAAATGCCCCCCCCTGGTGGCTTCATTGATGCCAGGCTCAAAGCAAGACTTCCCACTGCTGCAGATACAGCTCAGGTTAGTGCAATTGCATCTCTGTCCTCCTGCTAATGGATCCAAAATTTGAACATGGATACATTGGGATCATTTATTGCTCATAGCCTTTCATGTGTGGCCAGTTTCCTTTTGAATGGGCATTGAAGATCTAGGGTGCAACAAATTAGGCAGGTTCAGGTCAAACAAAAGGAGGTGAGTTCCTCACAGTGTTAAAAGATTACACAGGTTCAAGGAAGAGAAATCCATGGAGGGTGACTACATTTGCAGAATGAGAGTGTCAGTGCACACTAACTGGAAAAGATTTGATGCACAATCATTTAAACCATCTAGTACAGTCATTACTAACAGTTCATTATGTTAATAAATGGGCAGTGTTCAGCCAGGTTCCTAGGTAGGTTTTCTACCTCATGTTGATTTGAGGTCACTCTGGATATTTCTGCCAGCATTGCTGGTGAAAGTTGACTACAGTATCAGCATAGCCACCTAAGAGGAGTTCACATATCCAGCACAACTCTGCTTAAACCCAGATGCACCTTGTCTGTTGACGACATCCTCCCTTCAGTACCTGGGTGTGTCCCCTGGTACCAATGTGTGTCTTTCAGCTCATGCTTTGGAAAGTGCTGGGGGTGTCATCTGGTCTCAGGTGTGTTTCTGCAGAATGCTTTTCACAGGCACGGTTTGTCAGGGCTTGCTATGTGAAGACAGATGTATTAGAGGAGATGATGCATCATTTAGGGTTGTGGGGGCTAATAAAAGCAGGAAGCAGGGAAGTTTACATGAAGGTCACCGGTAACATCTTACTCCTACACAAACACATTTGTGAGATATATATTCTGACACCATGATGAATCGGAAATGAAGAGTGGGAGTACACAGAACACAGCCAAGGAAATTGTCAGAGCCACTCATAATATATCTGAGCATTTTAAAGGTAATTAAAAATGTCTTTGCACATGTGTCCATTCTAGTCTGCAGCAGGAGTGGGAGGAGAGCAAATCTATTACCAGAGTCGTCACTTAGGAGACAAATTCAGTGAAGACTGGCATCCTGGGCCTGTTAAGCAAGGTGAGTTTTGCTAGTTTTAGCTGTAATACTTCAGGAGGTCTTGGGTGGACAAAGCATGCAAAAGTCTGATTTCTCAGTGTCTTAAGCAGTGAACTGCACTTTGTTGATAGATTCCCTTTGTCTGAACTTAAGTGTTGATATGACTGAAAGCATTTGGTAATTACCTCTGGATAAATTATTAAATGCACACCTTCATAAAATTTCACCTTTTGCAGAGCAGCTCATAAATAGACTTGCCCCAAATCTTCAGCTCCATAGCTTGCCATAACTGTGGTATTTGAAGACAGGCTGCATAGTCTGTTCTGAAAATCTGACCCACTAGGGTATGCAACATGGAGTTTCCAAAGGAATAGCCTAAAGTCAGAAATTTTTTTTTAAATATGGAGCATTGCATGTGTTTGCACATGATCTCTGCCCATGAATAACAAATAATGCATAATGTTCTTTTTGGTTTTGTTGTCTGTGAATTTTAAGCAAATCATATAAAAATATGTGTGAAATTTCACCCCTCCACCTTTATGTGACAGCTTTACTGTGTTTCTGGGGACACTTTCTTTCAAATGCTGTCTATCTGCACGGATGTAAGGATTTTATTCTATTTCTTCCTCTCATGACTCCCCAACTGAATATAATTTTTGAAACTGTGAGTCTTTATTTACAAAAGTTTTCTTTCCTGCTGAATAATAATGCCCCCCTGCAAGCCCTCATTGAAACACAGTTCTGAATCAATTCATCAATATTGTCTTCTACTAGTTCCTGCAGTTACTCACTTTGCATCTCCCATTCTAGGGAATTTTAAACCTGTGGTGATGGGGTATTGTGTTATTTGGTCATTGTAACAACATTATTTTGTCAAATACAAAAAAAAGAAGGAAAAAAGTCTTGAATTTTCTAGGGTCTCTGGATATTTGTAGTATACCGGAAGGGAAATCAAAAGTAACCCCAACAGCAGAGATGCCAGCATATGTAAACACACAGCATATAAATATAGAAGCTCTACTGGCACTTCAGGCAGATGCTGAAAATACCTTCACTGGAACAGCAGATGATACCAAAGAGAGCAGCCCAGGAAAGGATCTGTTCGACATGAGTGAGTTCCTTTCCTATTCACTCCCTATCTAACAAGTAACCTAATATGTTTATGCATTAGTACTGTTAAAAAAAAAATAAATCCAAATTTTAGTATTCCTGGTGGAATTATGGTGAATTTTAGAATGCATGGTAGTGAACCGAGTTAAAATAAGGGTACCCAGAAAAATCTGAGTTAAGGTGAGTTGCAGTCTGTTATCCCTAGCATCACAGACAACTACATCAGAAGGAAAATAAGTCAGGAGGCTTGTCATGAAGAAAAGTGAAGGAGTGAATGGCTGGAGAATTAGCTCCAACCTATCCTGTGAATGTTACTAGGAAATCAATGCATATACAAAATCTTTGTGCAACAAGGAAGCTGGGAGGGAAATTAAAAAGCTGAGTTATCCCTTGCTCTGGTTAGACCTACTATCCTGTCTAGCTATCTGTTCCAATTTTGAAGTCAGCTTTTCCAAAAGTAGAATCATAGCCATAGCCATAAAACAATGATTTAAACATTAGTCCTAATTTGATGTTGGTGCTACCAATACACATTGGTTTCAGCATTGAAGAGAGACTTAACAGGAAATATGGGGAAAGCTGTTTGCTGCACAGAACCTTTTTTGGTTTTGTACTCTTCCTACTTCCGATCAATTGCTGACACATGATATATTTGATTCATATAATTAAAAGGCAGCGAGACAAAGCAGTTGCTGTCTATATGCTATTTGTAAAATAACGTATCTACATTTCTGTTTTCTCAGTATATGTGAAGCTATCTTCCCAGCATGTTGTTGCTGAGAGCTCTATTTCCATGGTTTAGGGAGATTTTGGAATGAAAGGAAGGGGGAGGGAGGCAAGTTGAGAGAATATCTATAGGTGAATATAGATCTGAAATGAGAAACGTGTTCTGTCTGAAATCACGGATGTTAACCTTGTTTTCTGACTTGCTTTACCCTTAAAACACGGACATGCTTCTATTTTATATGCATTCCTTTCCTAAAAATAGGGAAAACTGATTTCTCATCTTCCAGCCTTTATTTATCTTTATTAACCATTGGATCATTGGAGAAAAGTAGCATTAGAAAATGTGTCAACTAGCCCTAAGTCAGTGGTTTGTCAAGCTAAACATGTATTGGGCTTAGTGCAGACTGCAGTGTAGTGAAAGACATATATAAACTGTTTTTAAGAATTAGCTAACGTATCAGTAAACTGTGACAGCACAGTATTTACCTTGTTTCTCTGAGCTAAATTAACATCTCTGTTGCCCCATGAAAAACATGGTTGTGTACTGCTGGCATGTGAGCAGTCTATTTAGATCTGGTATATTGCTTCATGGTACTGCTCTGCTGATGTCCTTTCGTTAAGTCTAGTGGGCACAGAACAATAGCTCTTTTTAATATGCACTAGTTGGCCAGACGAAGGTCTTGCAAGAGAAAATTACTTCCAATAGGTCAGTATATAATGAAGCATGCGCTGACCTATTTGCTATTTCTGTAAGACTGTTGGGATCTGTAATGACACATCTTTCCATTCCACTCTACAGAAAATAACACAGAGTTCAGGATTTAGCTGAGGTTTAAAAGATATCAACTAGGTAAATCACATTAAAGGTTTTAGCCTATGTCTATATTGCAAAGTTTTCTTCCCAGGTGGAGGCTAGGGGTAGGCTGGTAGCGGTAAGGGCAACTGATCCCTTCTAGACATACCCTTGTGCTGGAGACTCAGTAATGGATAATTTTTAAATTAATATGTTGTTTAAAAAGAGGCCAGATATGAGTATAGTGACATTGGGTACCCATATTATACAATGTATTTGAAATGAAACTGTCTGACATACCTGGCAAGACAAAAGGAGAGCTCTGCCCAGTACCAGGGCATATAAATGCAACTGTTGACAATAGCTATTACTGAAATAAAATCATTACCTTTCAAAAGCTCTTGTCAACGTTTGCTCTGATTTTTATCAGCATCTTTCTGTGTGTAACATACATTTTTAACATATTAAACTCCTTGGTTTTAATACAATTAATAAATCAGTAGGCCTAGCAGTACATCTTTCCTGATTTTTCATAAAGGGAAGTGGTATAACACAAAATAAATCCAGTTAAAAATTACTGGAATATCCCCAATATGTAACATGATTTACCTCTGAATGATCTTGCCCTTGTGTCCATTTCCATAACCAGAACCATTTGAGGATGCCCTCAAGAACCAAACATCTGAGGCTGCATTAAGGAAATCCACTTCCACAGGATGCATCAGTCCTCTTTTATCCAGACCAGCTGATTGGACTATAGCTGAGGAGCTGAGTGCAGAGCCATGGTATCAAGGAGAGATGAGCAGGAAAGAAGCAGAACAGCTGTTAAAGAAATGTGGAGACTTCCTCGTGAGGAAGAGTGCCACAAATCCTGGCTCCTATGTGCTGACAGGCATGCAGAATGGACAAGCCAAGCATCTTCTTTTGGTGGACCCAGAAGGAACCGTAAGTGCTGACTCTTCAGTAATACAAGTTTTCTGACTCTACACATTTTCTCTAAATGTGTTTAATCTCGTTTACAGTTTATTCACAACTGATCATAAGTACAGCCTCATATCTCTAATATGCCATCACACCTCTAATTCTCTCCCTCATGCCTAGCAGAAGACCCACTGCATGATTTCTTCACGTTGCAGGGAGCCTTAGGGACCTGATTTCCCAGCAAGGTCAAGCTTTAGCCGTGGCAGTACAGTCTTAGTTAAAAGTACAGTTAAGCCACTTTAGCTTTCCTGCTGAGAAAGCTGGTGGCTGTGCAAGTTTGGCCAGTTTGCATGCTGGCAGTTTCCACATGACATCTCCATTAGCTAGGATACAAACCAGGCCCTCTGTGTTTTCCTGCAAGTAAGCCCAGGAGAGAACTGGGGTGAACCTGCTCCATCTCTTTGCTGCACAGGGACTTACTTAAACTGACAAAGGGGCCCTGCTGGCAGCAGGATGGACAGGCCAAGGGAGCTTCAGTTTTCTGCAGCTGTCCTGTCCTGCTTCCAGGGAGGCTTAGTTTCATCTGAGAGAATGAAAGCCTTGCCACGCATTTTATTCTTGGTTCCTGGTAGCTGAGAGTGAGCAACTCCCCTGTAAAGGACAACTTTAGATGTTAAGCCCCAAAGTAAATGAGGAACTCCTGTAAAGGAGTTGGTTTGTTGGCATCTGTTTCAGCTGAGAAACCTGTGGCAGAATTATGCCTGTCATGCATAGTATGTATTGCTGCAGTGAGGAATGCCCATGGTACTTGTTGTAATTACATTTGTCCCATGAAGCCAGTCAAAGAATGGTTTTGCACTTTTAGGTGCCAAGTGCTTAGTCATGGGATTGACCAGGACACCACCCTGGTGAACTGGCCCTATGCCTCTTGGTGGGCAGCCTCCTTTGCTAAACTTTTGCTGGTAGTTTTGTGACTCCTGCAGCAGGGCCCCCTAATTCTCACTTAAACATAAAACAAGTAGCTGTTACAGGATACTGTGAGGAAAACGCTGCTGTGTGACATGACAAGTGCAGATATGTTATGTCCCACCAGGAGCTCCGCTGCTCTGCTGACTGGCATGGAGTACTCAGGCCCTATGGTGACTCCTGAGACATTTTCCTCCTGCAAAGATCAAAGGCCCTCCATCTTTTCTGCACTGACCTTAAGAGCAGCACTAATTTGCTGATGTTCTTGTGTAGGGACCTGCTTGTTCTCTGAACCTGTCCCCTCCCTCAGCCTACTTGTGATGTGCCATCGTGGCCCAAATGTCTCCAAAACTCCTCATTCAGGAGGCACCGCTTGAGAACAGGTTTTCTGTGTCTGTATTTAGGTTAGCTGTGCTGTCTATATGATTTGTGGAATCCTGACACAGCTCCTGAGCGGGTCCATTTGTGACTTGTCAGAGAGGAGAATTGTCAATAAAATGCCCTTGTGTGGCCAGCCACAGCAGCGTGCCCAGCGGCTTGCATTTCTTCTGTGTGAAGAAGTGTGAAGGCCCTGAGTTGATTATTTATAAAAAATGATTCCCACAAAGGCTGCCTGAAAATTCATGTCACACACAAATTACCCAGTCACACATTGTCTGGGTTTCCAGAGCACAGTTAACTGTCCAGTTGCTTCTGCTCTCATCCAGCTGACAAAAAGAAACTAGAAACCTGAGCTAGACAAAAAGATGTCTATTTCAGCTAAGGGATGCTTAAAATGGAGAACTGTAGAATTTTTACTAGGTTTAGAATTAGGGTTTGAACTTTGGTGATGGCAGGAGCATATTGCTTATGATAAGAAAAATCTCAGCTGCGTTGAATGGACTGAAAATGTGTTAATCTGAATATAGATAAGGAAAGTTAATGCTGTTTTAAAGATATATTTTAATTTTTAAAATATAGCTTTGAATAATTACAGAAAACAATGTTTCAAAGCAGTATTTTTCAGAAATTGGGAGAGCCTGTTGGTTTTCTTCAGTGTTGCAGCTACATGTGGACCAAGCAGATAGCACCATTTGCCACCTAAATTGTTTTTGTTTTTTGCCCTGTGACATCCTGTGCTAAGTTTCTAGCAGTTTTGACAGAACTTAATGATGAAGACAAATATATCAAGGAAGGTGCCCACCACAGCATAAGCTGGCTTTGGAAAGTTTTAACAAAAGTCGTTCTTTCTTTCTGAGAAAAGTTCAAGGAAAACAGATGACATGCCTCACGTGAGGGCAGTGCTTAGAGGCTTTAGCTTGAGGCAGTGTACAGCCATCCCCAATACAAAGCTTTACTGCAGCATGACATTTGCTTGAAGGGACCTCTGCTCTGCCCATGGAAGCTGTATGCCTAACTCGTTTTAAACATTGGAAAGAAATGTTTTGTGAAGATGGTAAATAATTAGATTATTTTGTAGTATAGATTAGTTTTTGGCCTGTCCTGATAAGGTTGACTGTTTTACCCTTGCAATTATCAGTTTCCTCTTATCATGGGTGTACTACTTGGCATACTTAGCAGGATGCCAGTGCAGAGGGCTGGTAAATTGGCTAGTTCCCTGCCCTGAAGTGTTTCAGTTTCAAAGGCACAGGGGTGTGCCACGAAGCATGGGACAAACCCAAGCCTAGCACACGTGGTGACAGATCACTGTCGGGGAAGGGGATTTTCCAGCACCTGAAGAAGATCTTCGTAAGGAAAGCACAAAGATGCACACAGAGAAGAGTTGGGTTCTGGCATCTCTGGAGGGACAGATCGTTTTAATGAAAAAGGTGAAAACACTTAAAAAAAGTAGGTGATCTCTTGGAGAAGAACATTTGATCTAAAAACCCAGTTTACAGTGAATCAAAATGTTGTACAGAAAATTTTCAAGCAGACTTATTCAGAAAGAGTGAAATACCTGCGAGAAAAGAGTAAGAGACAAAACAGAAGCAAACCTACAGAAATACCAAATTTCCACTGATTTTGATGGGGGAGGGATCAGTCTCTAAAACATGATGAATTGTGTCATTTTATTCTTAGAAAATTTTAGTGGAAGTTAAGGGAAAAAGTATTTTGGAAAAAGTATTTTGCTTTTTAATCTATCTTCCTGCATCTTTTTTTTTTTTTTAAGGTTCGTACAAAAGATCGCATCTTTGACAGTATAAGTCATCTCATCAATCATCATCTTGAGAATCATTTGCCAATAGTTTCTTCTGGGAGTGAACTCTGCCTGCAGCAGCCTGCGGAGAGGAAACACTGACTCCAGATGACTATTTTAGTTTTTGTAATTGGCAAGCTTAAGTGGTAGAAATTGCAGATATGAAAAAAACTGCACATTAAAAAAAAGCATATTCACATATATTTCACCAGTATGTTTTCTTTAGGTTTAAGAAGCCCCATTTCACATGGTACACTTGAACATTCTCAATGCTTTATGTAGATGTGAAGTCACAGCAGAAGGCTTTCTTAAAAAGTAATTTCAATAAAATTGTTCAGATTCTCTAATGTGAATATTGATAGTGTATATATATACACATTATATATATAAATACAGTATATATTTATATTTTTCAAGTCAGTCTGTGGATGGTATAGAACTATCTTTTGTGCCATGTGTTTTTACGAGAAGAAAAATGCCAATTGTGATTGTTCAGATAAAAATAGAATTCAGCAGTCTCAATTTCTTGAGAAAATGAATATTGGGAAAATTATTTCTGATTTTACATAAGAAGCACAACTATGGGACTACAGATGGATTATGCTGGTTAACCATGGAAGCAGTCTGAATTCAGCAACTAGTATTCCAACTCGGAAATTTAGCATAAAATGATTTTTAAAAGTGTTATTCAGTGTCACTGATATCAAAAGCATTTTATCTTGCTGATGTCAAGTTTGAATTCTTATATGATGCTACACAAAACATTTGTATTTTGCTTTAACAATGATTTGGTGTGATCTCTCTGTGTATGAGGTGTGTGCATTTGATTTTTCTGATGATAATGTAACAATATTCTGTAATTTTAATTTATCCATTTGAGTGCTAACGTTATTTATAAGTAATTCTCTGCTTGTGGTGAAGATCTAGGTGACCTTGACTGCTAGTCTCCAGTGAGATGTTACATAGCGGTCAGGCAAGTTCAAGTAACTTGTGTTTAATAGGTTTAATGCAAGATGAACATGCCTATTCAAAGACATACCTGAAGAATCTTTTCTTCTTATAAACAGTGAAAACTGTCATGACTCAGTGTTTAGTTTTGCAAATTACGCCATTTGCATTCACCTACCAAAGCATAACTTCACTTTGGCCTTCAGCATGTGATATGTATGCAAATATACTGCTTTTCTCTAAATACCAAGTTGAAAAATACCCATACACTAAAGATGTGTTTCTGACAGAAATGTCCTTGCCTTTTGGTACTGGGAAATGTTTTAAGGAAGATTTGTACTACCCAAATGCAAGCACTACATGAAGTTACTTTCCTATTTGATGAAGCTTATCAAGAGACAAATTCAATAGACACAGTTCCTGTAAAGTCAAAGTTTGTACCAGACTCCGGATTTAGCCTTCAGTGTTCCAAGGTCTTTTTCTTGAACAAAATCTTCAGACTTGATTCATGAAGGCCAAGAGTCAGCAGGGTAAGTCTAGGTTAAGCACCTGCCTACCCTGAAGCAGTCAGTACTTAAATCTACTTAAAATTATTTTGGTTTTAAGATTTTGCTAAATTTAAAGATTTGATAAACTACAACCAAACTGACTGCAGGGTTCACTTAGAATACACTCAGGTAGGATCATGATATTAAAATTCTGGAATGATTTTCTTGTATCTTCTGCTTGGTTCCAGCTTGGGAAGTTTGCTTTTGGTTGATCTCAAGAACAAAAGTGATTGAGGCACTAAAGACTAACCACATGATCCATTCAATAAATACTTTATTCTGTAATCAAGACATTCAGAAGCCAAACTAAAACATGAGTGAAAGAAATGCCTGTGATTAATTTTATTGCAGATAGTTACTAGTTGATATTTCTAGGTTTGGGTGGGAGCAAAGGAAAGAAATTAAATGCTGCATTGCAACCCAATGGTACTGAGATTAGTGGAATTCTGAAAATTTGGGTTGTCCTTTTACCAGGTTGGAAATTGCAAGAGAACATGAGATCTTATAACCCAAAGCAATATCCATCAAAATTACTTTATTTAGAGCATCCGTGTCTTACCATATTCCAGTTTGGAGTATCTTGGTTGCTACCTTTTTTGTCACATACAACACTTGTAATTCCATGCTCTCACCTCCCTATAGCCACATCCTTGAAAGTTTTTAGTGCGGTATTCCTAAGAGAAGGCCTCTTCTGTATTTTGAATGTTGTATATCCCTTCAGTAAGACCCAGGTGCCTAACTCCCATAGGTGCCTTCAAAAATCCCACCTGCTGCTTATGTCTGGTTTAGATTCCTGAATACTCTGTCAGTGTATGCCTGGAAAAATGTGGCAAGATACGGGTGTATGAAGGCACTAAACATACGCTGAAGTAAGTGTCAAATTTTTTTTTTACCATTGTCCTAGCTGTAGCTTTAATAAGTTAGCAGCCACTTAGCTGCATGTTTTGGAAATTAAAGCAGGTGGCAAGGAGACACAAAATGAAACAGTTTGGCATAAATAATAAATTCCCCAGACTACATTTCACAAACCCTGCCTCCAGGAAAATATGTCTATTTTAAGCTGCTCTGTCAGCACATCCAATTTGCCCAGCTCAGCATGCCTGTTGGTGATGCAAAGGTTACACATAGCTTGATCAGATGCAGTTCAGTCCTAGGTAGTGGTTGTGCCTCGGTGGGGCAGCAGATCCTGTGTGATGATCCGGGACTTTCTAAGTCACTGGGAACCAAATGATCTCAAAACTGTCCAGGAAAGAAGAGCATGCGGGCCAATCAATGCTCCTTTTGCAGATCGTGCCATTGCATTTTGTCACTGTCACTCTCATGGATTTAGCATTCCCCTATATGAAAATGGTATAAAAACTGTATAGCAGTTTGGATAGCAGATCCAAGCCTGTGGTCATTACTCTTCGCTCAACAAGAGCTAATTGATCCTGCGAGACAGGCAGGGCTTATTTCTGTGAGGAGCCAACATTGCCAGTAATTTTAGAGAGGTAGAAGTTATGAGATGGGCTCAAATGTTGTACAACTGTCTGAAAACCAGACAACTGACAGCATAATAATTTGAGCCTTTTAATGTTTGCCTTTGGTTTTGAGTCCCTTCACCTTTTTTTTTTATCCTCTTTTATGGTATCCCAAGGGCTAGACACTTGCTGGTGATAATTCAGTACCATGACTTCAAGAACAGGGATTTTACTGAAAGAACAAATTTAGTAGACTCAATAGAAATCAATGAGATTAGACTATATTATAGTATCCTTTGATATTTTCCCAGGGGATAGCTGAGAAGTCAGAACTGAAGCTAAATATCCTGCAAGACTGTCTACATTGATTCTGAATCCTAGCTGATTATCAGTTTAGATTCCAGTTGTATTGCAACTATGTGAACTATGGGCAATGAAAATGCATTTGATTCTTTTAAACAAAGAACCTTTGAAAGAGAACCAAATACTTCCAATTCATTTTACTGCAGATCTAGAGTAATTGTTAGGATAATAAAATTTTCCAGTGAGGCTGGCAGAGATACACTGGACATTGAGGTACATTTATGTTCCCAAACTTTGAGTTATCTCAGATGCTTCAGAAGCAATGAAACCTCAAAGGTATCAAATGTGATTTGAAAACTGAATTACATTCTGACTTAAGTGGGAGTTTGCTAAGGGTGAGGACTCCCAGGTTTCCTTCCCTGATGCAAGAAGAGGACGTTCAAATTGGCCATGCCTGGGTGGAGACCATAGGAGGAGATCCAATTCCTATGGCATACTGCTTGCCTCTCTGCCCTGAGCTTTGCACACACAGTAAGAACAGGTTATATAGTAGCTTCCCTCCATATTCTACAGGGTTCACAATGGGAGATAACACCGGTTCTGCGAGCAGATTTTGAGTGCAAAATGTGCACTGTCACCAGAAAAAAATGTTTACTTACAGTTTGGTAAATGTCACCTGCCAACACTCAATCTTCTATATCCTGGGTTCATTCTTTTTCTGCTCTGTGGAATAATACGCTCACATTTCTTATCATCACGGTTCCTAGGCATCATGCTGTGCAGTAAGATGAGGAGAATTAAAAAAAAAACTTATACCACAGTGCGATTGCTGCTAGCACATCAAGTGCCAGATGCCAGCTACAATGTATTCATAATAGAATTGGTGCATATTTAGATAACTGTAAGTAGCAAATGCTCCATTTGAAAGCCAGCAATTTTGCAGCCTCCGGGAAATCTGCAGCTCTAAAGGGGTAATCTGGAACTTGTGAATGTTCTGACAAAAGGTTACAAATCCTGCTTTCAGGTCTTTGTTTTTAGCATCCAATATGTATCTGAAGTAAATGGTAGAACCAAAAATTTATATGAAGTAAACTATATTTGAATAAACAAAGTCTAAGCTGAAGTAACACACACACTCCCCTTTTTATCTTCCAGACATTTTCAAATAAAATCCAAATTCAGATTTACCTTAGTGTACTGCCAAAAATAGGTTGATTTGCATGGTCTTTTTGCTCCTGCCTAGGGTTGCACACTCCACAAATCTATGCTTGCTCAACGCTACTGGGATATGGGCAGATTCCCACTAAAAGCTCTGTGCTCAGCTGTACTCTCTACGCACTCACAGTGTCTGTGGACCTTGCTCACATCTGCATTGGATGCAGCTGGAATGAGGGCAGGCCTGTGGAAAAGATATCATGGATATACAGTTTGCCTGCAGGTAACCAGAGGCTGGGATAGGGAGTGAGAAGCTGTCTTTGGAGAGAAAACCCCAGGGATAGGAAATGTGAAGCCTGGAAACACAAGCCAACAGGCATATAAACAACTAATAAGAATAGAGAGCTGTCACCAAATTAAAACATGCTAATTGCTTGCTAGGGTTAAAGCAGAACCTCTAGGGAGGCGAACTGCAAAATACTTAGGCAATGCCTACTGCTCTTTTATTCTGAGACATTTTCATTCATTAAATCTGATTTGTTCCTCTGAATACTCCAACATAAGCATCCTGCATGGCTTCCACTGAGAAAAAGCAGGGCTTCTTTTTTTTTCTCAGTAAGGGGGTAAGATTTTAGAGCTACACATTTCTAGCCAAAGCACCATATAAAGAGTGTTAAAAGTTGTCTGACAACAGAACAGGCCATGAAAACCAAAGAAAGAAGCTAAAGCTGGGTGACTCATTCTGCTACCCCATTTTGTGGGAGACAGCACAGATGAATCAGAAAAGGTAGCCTCAGATTTTGAGATTAACATGCAGATTTACATTTTATGTTGCTTTCATGAAGGTCAAGTAACAAAATACAGGTCAAATGAGAGATTTTTTCTTCTGTGAGGCAAAACCCACCAAACACACCCAGACATATATTCATTCAAAAGAAGTGAATTTTTTTTTTTTTTAATTAGGTGAAGAAAGTAAAGATTGTATTTGGTATGTATCCTTCGTGGCTGGATTGGTGTGATAACCACTTTTCAGTGAAGTCCTGCAGAGTTAAACCTTGAAAGAAGCCAGTGTCTTTTTTTGAGGTAAATGGGTTTTTTTTTGCCGTGTGTGGGCAACAGCAACAAAACAAAAAAGTGGCTATTTTGCTGTAAAAGAGAGTTCAACTTTACATTTGTTATTTATTAGTATTTATTCCTTTTAGAAACGTTTTTAACAGAGCATTGCAGGAAAAATAATGTATGTAGACATTGTGATCGTTTATATTCCCAACCACTTTTGTGAATCTCAAGTTTTTGCCTGTCTGCTGATTGTGGTATTCTTGTTACAGAGGCAAATACTGTCTCTGAGGAAGTTCTTGAACATCAGAATTTGGAATATGTGTCATGCAACTGTTTTCTGATTATACAGTTTGTATATGATTAGCCAAAGTAATAAAATAATGAGCACTACTATCAGATTAAAATGCATGTAAAGTGGGCTTGAGTCTGTTATCCTATGCCCAAATTCCCTAATGTTCTTAATTTGGGGTTTTTTGGTTTTGGGGTTTTTTTTTAATTTACCTGAAGGGATGCCCATTTTGTAGCACAGTAAGTGGTTTACCTGGGTATTGAATAAGTCCATGAACTACTTTCTTTGATAGAGGCAACACTGATTTCCACAAGTTCATTTTTGACAAATGCCATTTTCATGATGCAAGTAATCACTCATACAGGCCCACTTTCTGGGCCAGAAAATCCCCTCTCCTGATAAGGTAGCTTTCCTGCTTGGCACACTCAATAGGTGAGTGTAACAAAGGGTAGACCGTTCCATGGTCTTTCCGTGGAGTGACTGCAAGGACAAGGTCCGTGCAAGAGCAGCTATTTAGTGTACTGTGGAGAGGAAGAAGTCTCCAGGTCAGAAGGAAGCTTAGCTGGGCTGATGTTCCCCAAATCCTTTTCCTCCACCACCTGAGCATCTCCTTGGAAAGGCCCTTCCCTCTTACCCACCTGGAGAAAAGCTAAGCCTAGGAATGCCCTGGGAAGTTATGATGCTCTTGGGGAGAAGAAATGCAGCTCTGAAGGCAGCATGGGCATCAGCACACCTCTGCATGCCTCTGCATCATGCCTCCAGCCCACTTCAGTTGCCAGATCTCACGGCTCAATGGTGGCCAAGCAGAAATACCTGATCACTGCTGTTGTGCCTGCCCTGTTTTATCATGAGAATGGAGTCTCTCCAGGCCTGGGGTGGCCATAGGGTCCACAGCTCCCCAAAGGGGCTGAGCTGTACCCTTGGTTGTGTTAGTGGGTTAAATGGCACTACTTGGGGTGGATGCCAACACATCTTGGCTCAGCAGGGGTGGACCAGCTGCTCTTAAGACCTCAGATTTTTGTCATCTGGCACTTCACACACAGGTGTGTTTTTCATTTCCTTACTACAGCAGTTGGAAATCACCAACCTTGTAGGCAGCACAACACGACAATTACAATCACTCCTTGTAAATTTGCCTTTCCAAGGGAGCAGCCACACATGGTGCTGCCGGAGCAGACAGCCCGCTGAGCAGGTGAGCCAAGATACCAAGTCTGCTCCCAGGAAAGCAGGGGCAAAGCCTTCCTCTGGCTCCAGGGATGGCAAAGACAGAGCCTACTGCCTTCAGCTGCACAGCATACTACAGGTAGTGCTTTCAGGGATGATGCCCAGAGCTTAAATGCATGTTTTCCACAGAAGTCCAGAACCGTTTTCAGAATTTTTTGAAAAATGACTGCTACACAACAACTTTGGTTCAAAGGTTTGAGACTTAACTGAAAGTTTTCAAAATGTTTATGGTACCTAATGAGTTGAAAATACTCTGTAAGACTGCTGGCAATAAAAGACTCTTGGAAAGCATTTCGTGAAAGCTTTTTTTTCTCCTTATGTGTTTTGATTTGAATTGCTTTTGTCATCCAGAACCAAAACAAATATTTCAATTCATGAAATATTATGAATGAAATTTAGTCTCCTTTGTAGCTTTTGCTCCACACAAAATCAATTGGGAAAGGGAGACCTGATTCAGTTTCTTGTATACTCAGATCAGCCTACATGATAGAAAGCTTAGATTCTGGGATTTATTTTAAGGAATTTTTTAATATTATAGGGTGAAAGAAGCTATTCTTCATCTTCTTCCAGCTCCAAGGATTGTTCTGGTTGTTTGCACTCCACTGCTGTTAAGCCCTTGACTTGTCCTACTTCAAAATTTTGCTCGGAAATATTAGGTAAAGCACAGATACTGGAAGATTTCCGAGCAAAATTCTGAAGTAGGACAAGTCAAGGGCTTACCAGCAGTGGAGTGTCCCAGATGTACCCACCGAAGACTGTATCCACAACAGGTTTTTTATCTTCAGTCGTAAGTGCTTTGTAAATCCATGAATCTTAGGAGCCTGCTTAAATGCAGCAGAGTAGTGAACTAACAAAATATCCCCACAGCTCCAAAATAAGAGAAGGAAATCAAAGTAGAATGAAAGGTTATTGTACTGACACACAATGACATGGCCTCCAACAGTAGAGTTGCTTGCATTACTTGTACCTTGCATCAACTCTGACAATAGCTAAGGCTAGAATCCAGATGTTAAAACTCACTTTTGTGGCATGTTCTTGGACTTTGGCTATTAAAATATTAATTTTTTTCACCTAAATAGCAAGAATCACGTAACATCCTTGACAAGAGAGCTGGTGTGGGGTCAGCCATAATGTTTTCTCAAACCACTGTCTTGCTAAGGCCTTTCTCCTCTACAATAACAAGGAACTACTCCGTCACACGCCACCACATGAAACGACATTTAGAAGTATACAATATTTTAGCTAGCATTTTCAAAGATCAACTTCAGGGTACAACACTCACACTGAAAATACAAATATTACTGTAAGATCTAAAATCTTATGCAAGCTGTGGCAATGCAATGTTCCCAGTTTTACATCTCAGAAAGCTACAGAGCTGTTGACCCAGTCTGTATCTGCACTTCATAGCTGTATCATGCTTAGCTTAGTTTATCTTTTTCTTCCTCCCTAAGTGCACTGCTTTTCAACATTTTTGGTAGAAATTGCTTCGTATTTACTACTGCCTTTCACAGTTATTCAAATAGTTTTTCTTTGTTCTCACACTTTTCTAACAGCATAAAACATTTACAAGCACACTGTTAACATGTAAAAGATAATCATAATGCAAACTTCTACATTTTAAAGGCTTTTGCTACACACATACACAACTTACACACTGCACATACTTGAGAAGAATCTAATGCTGCTGCTTTACATGATTAAGACCAGAGTAAAGCTAAGGATGAGCTCTTTCAGGATGTGTTGTTAGAACAGCCTCATCTACGCTTTGTGCATAAGGCAAGGTGTGGTTTGAGACATTAAAGACAAACCTTTGAAAGAGCCCAGTAAAGTTAGATGCTTACATTCTTACCGAAAGACAATGGGAATTAGTCTCAGAATTTCCCATTAACCTCTACTGCAGCTTCCAGCCATAAAATACTATTGAGGGAAGTACCACAGGCCACTGCCATGGGGACCTGAAACCGGGTGTTTATGAAGTCTTAACTGCTCTAGGTCTCAGGAAATCCCTTTGATGCTGAACACCATCCTGCACTGAGGCTGGTAAGGCCTCAGCGATCAACCATAAACTTGTTTTCATACAGGTTTATCTGGAACATCCTCTCAAAAGTCTGAAGCTCCAGTCTTCCAAACTAAACAGGCCCCCACTCCAGCTCCAAGACAGGGTCAGGTATAAACGGAGATATGCCCTTCAGCATGATCGTGTTGTACCGCATTTTCCCTCTTGTATCTGCAAATGTACCTGGAGACATTAGGAGTGTAGGGTTCCATTGACAGAAAATGCGATCTTGTTTGACTGGCTGAACTTCCCAAGGAGAATTTCTAACACAATCTCATGTTGTGGTAGTGCCTGGAAAGAAAAAAAAGAAGCTCCACAGGGACTCGTTGTAGTTCCCTGCTTTCTGAAATGATACGTCTCTGTTTCAGAACTGAAGAATCTCAGATTAGGTAGTGCATCCATAATGTACACAGGTTTACACAGGTTTGACATACATTTTTAAATACATTGGAAATAGTAAGTAAAAACATATGCATTGAAACAGTGCATACACTTGATACACATGTATTGTTACGTCACATTTTAACTACTTCAGTGAACATATAAAGCTTCTTTCAATGGTTATTTACTATTGCTTGTTTAAAATTAAGTCATGAAATGTCACAGTGACAACTGTCGTGTTGTCTTTCACTAAACATGAAAAGTTTGAGTAACAGTGGAAAAGAAATACTGCATTGATATGACATATTAAAGTTCTTGTCAGTTAACAGCTACTACTTCATATATTTTCACATATCCCCAATGAAACACATCTATTTGTATAATTTGTCACCTTACATCATACACTGCAATATGTTTAGCACATTGTTCAGTTAAAAGCTACTACTTCACATATTTTCAAATATCCCCATTGAAACACATCTATCTGTATAATTTGTCACCTTACACTGTATACTGCAATACAATGTTTAGCATATTGTAAACTTTTACCAAATGACATTTTAATAAGGATTTGTATAAATATACAGCTATTTATACCACATACATGTAAGGCCATTAACATAACAGCAAGATACATACAGAGAACTATAATCACCAACATATGTAATGAGCTTTTCTTCCAGTCAGCAATAATTGGGCTCATTTTCCGATCATCAGCAGTGTTTAGTGAATGATGAAGTTTCTAGCAGGTTTTATTGATGCCTTGCAAGACCAGGCAGTGCCAAATGCAGCTTCATCATGCAATGCCATCATGGTCCACAACATAGTAAGATGTGCATGGACTCTGTCCTGACTGTGGGGTAGCATGAAAGGGTTTTTTTGAATGAACACTCAAAGCAAATGATTTTTGATAAATAAGTCCTCAAAGTTAAATAAGTGGTTAGTGTTTTCCCCTGTGACTTAAGTGCTTAAACTACACTTGTAGTTTAAGTCTAAAAGCCACAGAAAGGTACTTGACTTGAGGAGTCCTTTATTTACAGAAGTTTCCATTGTGAAATGAAGATTCATTTTTCTCAGCAATACACGAGGGAACATTCACTGGTGGAAAATCTTCCTTTGGCTTCTGGGTATTGCTGCTGCTGGATTTGCTTCGACTGTGATCTGGAGTGGGCTGAATAGGCAAAGATCTGGCCACGTTGGATTTCACCAGGCAGCCACAAACAAGGCGAAAGAAAGCCCGACGCATTTCTTTACTGGCCAGAGTGTAGATGATGGGGTTCATTGCAGAATTGATGACTGCCAGAGAAATAAACCAGTGGGCTTTGTACAAGATAGGGCACTCCTTGACTCTGCAGGCCACATCAGTGAGGAACAGGATGAACAGTGGAGACCAAGAGGCAATGAAGACACTAACAACGATCACAACAGTCCTAAGGAGTGCCATGGCCCGCTCCGAGTTATTGTGGTTAGCGACATTACGACTGCTGGACTTTACCAGGATGTAGATACGGGCATAAAGGATGACAATGGCAACCAAAGTGGCTATGAAGATACTAATGCAGAACACAACATACTTCTTGGAATACAGAGGCAAAATTGTTGAGCAATCTGGTAAATTGTTTATACAGTTCCAGCCGAGGATGGGTAAGGCACCCAAGGCAATCGCAATAAGCCAGCATGTACCAATGAGAAGGAACACTCTGTACTTTTTATTTGCATCATAAGGCCTCATTTTAATCATGGTCAAATGCCGCTCAATAGCAATCGCTAGTAAGCTGAAAGTGGAGGCTCCCAGGGCGACAAACACACTGCCTTCTCTAATGAACCAGATTGTGGAGGACAAGCTCAGAGTCTTCTTCCCAGACATAAGAATGTTTACTTTGTAAACAATTCCAGCTAAAAGATCACAGAGAGCCAGATTGCCAATAAAAAAGTACATGCGGTTGTGAAATTTATTGTTTTTCCATATGGCAATCAACACCATCAAGTTTTCCAGGACTATGAAACTACACAGGATCAGAAATGCAATAGTGGGCAGGTCTATGTTATCAGTTGCCTTTTCTCTTAAAATAAGCTTTCCTGTGTAATTATAATGCAGTACGATCAGAGAGTCCATCTCTTCATTTCCTTGAGGGCTGACAAGAGCATCAGGTGGCACAGTAACTGCTGCCATCATCTGTTTGACGATGCTGGACTTTACTTCTTTAGTATCACGAGAATTTAGTTACGATAATTTTCCACAAGAGGGAGATCAAGCCACGTTCCTCCAAACGCTCCTCTGGGCAGGCGGTCTGTGCCCCCAGCTCCAGCAAGCCTTGCATATTAATTCTGGAGAGTGGCTCGCAAACCAGGCTCTGAAAATAAAATCAACAAACGCAACATAAATCTGTCTTCCCACGTCACCCATGGCCCGCGCAGGTGCTCAAGCACAATGTACACCCAGGAGCCGAGAGGGACACTGGCTATAACGGGGTACCAACGTCTGCCATTGCTTAGCAAGGTGGCTGTGGGTAAGATGTCAGTCACACTCTGCACAGATACAGCTCAGCTGCGAGAATACAAGGGTAATGTGGAAAACTACTCATAGGTGTTTCCCACTACAAGATTTCCATGCTGAAAAAGAGCAGTGAGAAGGATTACCAAATGGCCCCAGCAAGCCTCAGTCTGCACAGCAACTGGCTCACTCCTTCTGAAAAAGAGTGCTACCAAAACACCAACCAACCATCACTGCCCGATCAGCAGCAGGGCAAACTCACTGACTTTCAAGCTTGCTGCTGTTTCCCATCCAGACCTAAGGCAGCAAAGACCTTGAGGAAGTTGGTGTCAAGTCTTGATGACAGTGTGATTGTTGCCAATATGTTGCCAGAATAACTTCCCACCCCTAATGGTATAAAATTATGCTGTTTACAATTAAGGAGATGCTTTGAAAGCCAGTCATTATAAAATCAATCCTACTTCCCATTCAAATTAGTTGGATTTCTGCTACCCTTTTAAAAATAAACCTAGCAAGTCACATCTATGTAAGTATCGCTTTTCTTTACGGTTTACTTTACTTTTATTTTCATTTGCATATGTGTACAAGACATACATTTAATGTTTTTTTTATAATAAAAAATAATTATACCAACTTTAACTGTCCTTCTCAATTTAGTTCTGTTTTTCTTGAAGTTATACTTAGATTAACTGCAACAGTTTCTCATAGACTTTGACAGGTTGCATTTTTGTAGCAGATCATCCTAGGTGCCTTTTTTTTTTAAATTTTATTTTACATTGCCATATATAAAGATTGGAAGAGATCTGCACAGATTTCTAAAAATATCAGATGTCAGAAACTCTTACTGTTTTGCCAGAAATGTTACAGTTCAGTTGCTGAATATGCCAGTGAGAATCAGTGCTCATGCCCCAGGCACATGTACTGAGGATGAACAGATAGTCAATTTTTCAGCTTGGTAACCAAACCAGGATGGGGATGAGAAGGGAACTGGTTCCATCTGAACCAAATTTGTAAAGATTTAATTTTTTTCTGGGAAAGGTAAGAAAAATTAAAATTTGTGCTGGATGGTAGGGCACTTTCCATTGGCCTGAAATTAAATAGCTTAGTTTAGGGAACTCTTAAACAATTGGAGGTCCTGACCTTACCATTTATTTACTCAAGGGTCATGAGCATTTCACAAACACATGAAAGACACTTTCAAAGGATGGGTATCAAGGGAAGGTGGGATGGAACTACATGATCTTTAAGGTCCCTTCCAACTCAAACTATTCTATGATTCTATATACAAGTTTCGTAAAATCACAAAAACGTATGAGCCACTGCTCTTCTAGCACTCTGTTTTGGGCACCTGAAAAATGTGATATGCATTTTCAAGTGCTTTCTGGAAGAGGGGAGGAGCAAACCACATCCCAGATGAATGCAAAGGGATTTAAAGAATGACCAAAACCCTCTTTTCCCACCCTCCCTTTTCCTGGGTTCCCTCCACCAGAAAAGAAGTAATCTGACAAAAGCCTACAGTGAATTGACTTAAATTTTAGTACATTTGGGGTATGTAAAAAATATTTTCTGATAAAATAATTTACTATTTACCCATGATTATTACTATTATTTCTGCCAAACTACTTTGGTGAAGAGACTTGCTGGGAGACACAAATTATCCAAGAAACACAGTTGTTGCCTGGTGTCCTCAGTCTTTTATACTCTGAAGATAACAGCAACTACCTCATTCATTTCCCAGGAGCAGACTTGGGCTCTTCAGTCATTGACCTCCCTTCTGAAGCATGGTAACAGTGAAGCTCTTCAACAGAACAACTTCACTTCAGCTAAGGTTCAATTTAATTGTAATTCAGTTACAATATGCACACTGTTATCACATAAAATATCACAGTTTTTCATTGTACTGGCTTATAACAAAATGCCACTGTGTCCATATGAATTGCAAGTGCTTTCCACTGTAAAATAAACAATTACAGTGGACTAGAAAAGTATGTTAATGACAGCTCAACTAGCAATACTCACGAGACTGGCTGATGGCTGCCTGAAAGAATCATACTCATACCATTTGAGCACCACATGCAACAAAATAAATGTTTCTGTAAGTTTTTTCCAAGCAGAGTTATCATACTAGTCTATCAAAGGACAAATACATCTCTTTCTGTGAAGATAATTACATGCCAGACTTACTACTTTATCAGCCACAACTCAGCAGCTGTAAACTGTCATAAGTCTACTAAATGTAATGGTGCTATACCAGTTCCTCTGGCTGAAGGCATAGACAATGTACTCAATCAGCATAAATCATATAGAAATCAACATCTTCTATTGTTCATAATGACTTATTTTTTGAAAATTATTACAGCATAGTGTCACAAAAGTAAATTTTTGCCTCTGACAAGCTAGTGGCAAGGCAATGGAGGCTGTAACATTATTATTTGCCAGGACTCTCTGAGAATGAGTATCACTCACAAGCCACTTGAAAGTTAATATAAATAATAATGTAATAAAATTATTCTCTTCTGCCAATAACAATTCCAGGTAATATCTTTCAGTCATATGACTTTTTTGTTTTCCTCCTGCTTTGTAGCGAGTAACTCAGAAAACACATTAATTTTTTAACAGTTAGAAAAACTTAAGTTTGTTGTGTATTCTAGTAACAAGACAGCAGCAGCCAGGTCCAGGATATCTGTGTCACTGCTTCCTGACAGCTGTACAACTTTGTCCCAGTCACATACAGAGGACTAGCCACTAGCTGCAAAGTATGGATCTTGGCTCAAAATATTTAAAAAAATGACCTCTAGAGCCTGTCTGTGGCATGTTGCATGTTGAGCGTTGCCTTGGTTAGGTACCTCAATACCCTGAGCTCTTAATACCAATGGAAATCAGTTTTATTCCCTCTAAAGCAAACCAGAGGATCCCTATCACTGCACCACCAGCTACTTACGAGAAAACTTATCAGGAGTGCAGGGCCAATCTGGCTACACTTCCTCATGTATGTGATGGCCAAACCAGCGTTTGCTAAATGTCTTAAATAAAGGCAGTGGTACAATGTCAATAACCAGTCATGTGGAGGCCAATTCAGTTGTCTCCTTCAGCTGTTTGGCTGACCTCCTTCCTCCCTACTACAAGGACGGAGGGAGCAGTTGAGGTTAGCAGCAAGCACCATCATTTCCCTCTCCTGGGTAATCCCCCTGCCCACCACCATGCTTTGGGGTTTCCACAGCAGTTAGTGTGGTCTCCTGCAGAGGACAAGGATCCTAGTGGGGTTGAGCACCTTTCCAGTTTGGAGCAGGGGCTCTCCATGGCTCACATCCCTAGGGTCCACCAGGGTCTGTCTGGTCCCTATGCCACATATGCCATGAAAAGGGCAATGCTGTGTGGTAAGCCACAGCTCCTCGACCTGCCCTATGGCAAGGCACAACTCCACTGCCCTCTCGAGTCCCACCACACAGTGGTACAGGTAGAGTCTCAGGGCTGTACCTCTCACCAGCTGCCCATAGATAATGCCCAGGGTAAGGCAGTTTGGAGTCAACCTGCAATTCTCCTCTGGGGATGTGTAAATCCCAGTGCCAGAAGGCAACAAGGAATTTGTCATATGGGGATGCCAAAGCCCTTCAGCAACCATCCTCTGTACATCTTTGCTCTCTGCTCCCTGTGGGTGCTCTGGTAAGAGTCCCACGGGGAGCTGAGGGCTTTTATCATCTCATGAGTCACTGCGTACTTTACAGCTGGAAGAGTAAGAAATTTCTATTTTCAAAACAGTGAGCCAGACTGCTCTCAATTTTCAGGATATCCTGAAGTCAAAGCAACAAGTGAGAATGAAGCATAAGTGAGAACATGACTTAACTTTCGGCTATCTCCTTTTGATTCCACAAGAACATGGGATGCTACGCATTCACTACACTCACGGTAACTCAGCTGGAATCCTATTCTCCTGCCTTCCAAATATCCACGAATAGACTTCACTAGAGACTGGACACCCCTTCACCATCATCACTACCCCACACATAGCAGTTCTCCCTTTCACACACAGCCATACAATTTGACCACTAATGACAGTTTTTAAAACGGCAAAGGGAAAACCAAGAATGCACATGTGAAGCCAAACTTTTGTATATTTTACTTACTTGTAAAGCCTTCCTGATGAAAAGTAAACATGTGTAATTTATCAGGCACACCCTGGCAGTGTTAAATTTAAGAACAGAAAAGGCTTTTGAGAATAGCAGCACATTTCAACACACATTTCCACTCTAAAATTAAGCTGTGCTAGATGCAAATGAAGTTTAGACAACAAACATCTGCTGTAGAACAATGTCTTGGAAAACTCAAATAAACTTTTAAAAGTTTTTTTGAAGTGAACGTGCTGGCAGCTTACAGCCTTTGAAAAGCCTTTAATAACTGGTTATTTTCCTTGGCTTCTGTCTAAAAATCAGTTTGTATTTTGTAATTGCGAGTAGCGCCCGTGCACGTCTCACCCAGGAACTCCCGGCTGGTTTAGTTCTTGCACCTTAAAGGCTGGCACATTTACTCCCTCCCCCTCGCCGGCGCCCAGCGCTCCCGACCTATTCCCTCCACTCCGAACTCCAGGATTCCCCTGGCAAATCTGCATTACTGCAGCGACCTGTGAACTTTTGGGGATGACAAACGTCTTGCCTCAGCTACCCGTGAATGTCCCCGACGTCTCCGCGGCGTGACCGTCCCACACGAGAAACACTACTCACAGCCTTGGGATTTTTACTCAACCGGCCGCCGCTCCGTGCCGGCCACGACGCCTTTGCGTGACCTCCTGAAGCGGCCGCCCGCACCGGGGCTTTCTCGCTCCCGCCTCAGCCGGCGGGGCAGGCGGAGCGGCAC